TTCCCTACTACTACTATCAGTCATCTTGCAGCTGCTAGTTCTGACCACTCACTATTGCTTATGGAGATTCATGGACAATATGACCAAGCCAAGAAATACTTCAGATTTCTCGACAATTGGACAGAAAATGACAGCTTTCTATCTTTAGTACAGAATGTGTGGAACAAACGTGTGGAAGGGAATGCAATGTGGGTGTTTCATCAAAAGCTCAAAGCCCTTTCTCAAGCCCTGAGAAAATGGTCCAGAATTCAATATGGGAATATTTTCCAAAAACCAAAAGAGTATGAATAAAAGGTCAAAGAAGCTGAGGAGAAGTGGGCTGCTACTAATGATCAAGGCTCAGTATGTTTCATACCTCAAGGTAGATGAGGCAGTTCTGAAATAAAAAAATACAAATGCAATGGTTCAAAGATGAAGATGCCAATTCTAAATACTTTCATAGTTTAATCAGAGGCAGAAGAAGAAGGCTTTGCATTCACAAAATTAAAGATGAATATGGAAATTGGATCCAAGGTGATGTTTCTTGTAAGCACTTTGAGAATATGTTCACTGAAACAAGTGGAATTGTCAGAGAGGATTTAGTATCTTGCATTCCTTCATTGATCAATGCTGAAGATAATGTTGAACTCACCAAAGATCCACCCATGCAAGAACTCAAACAAGTGGTCATTTCTATGGATCCTAACAGTATTGTTGGCCTAGATAGTATGAATGGCACTTTCTTCCAATTTTGTTGGGATGTCATCAAGATTGATCTGCTTAATGTAGTCCTAGCTTTCTACAAAGGTTCCAACATGCCCAGATACTTCACCCATGCTTGCTTGGTCATACTGCCTAAAGTTGAATTCCCCAACTCTTTTACTGAATTCAGACCTATAAGCCTCAGTAATTTCATCAACAAAGTCATCTCAAAGATCATCTGCACAAGACTAGCTCCAATTTTGCTAAGAACAATTTCCCCAAACCAAACTGGTTTTGTCAGAGGAAGGAGTATATCTGAAAACATCATGCTTGCATAAGAAATAGTTCAGGGCATTAAGAAACCAAATACTGGGGCTAATGTAGTGATCAAGCTTGATATGGCTAAGGCATATGATAGGGTCTCATGGAGTTTTATCTGTATTATGCTCAGAAGGATGGAATTCAATAAAATGTTCATAAACATGATTTGGAGGACAATGTCGAACAATTAGTACTCTGTCATTGTAAATGGTGCTAGACATGGTTTCTTTAAGTCTACCAGAGGTTTTAAATAAGGTGATCTACTTGCACCAACACTTTTTATTATTGGGGCAGAATTATTATCAAGATTGCTTAACAAACTCAATGATGACCAACTCTTTAATGGTTTCTACATGGACATAAAAGGCCCACAAATCAATCATCTAACAGGTGATGTGATCATTTTCACTTCAGGTACCAAAATTTCATTGTAAAAAATTATGGGCATTCTTGCTGGATATGAAAATACTTCTGGCCAAATGATCAACAAAAACAAGAGTCACTTTATGGTTACTTCATGTGTGTTCCACTACAATGTGTCAAGGATTAAGCAAATCACTGGATTCACAAGAAAGGAATCACCTATCACATATCTAAGCTGCCCTCTCTATATTGGAAGGAAAAGAATTGTTTACTTCAATGGCTTAATCTCTAAGGTCATTAATAGAATTAGAGGCTCGCATGTCAAGCTTTTTTCCATGGTGGTAAGGTCACATTGATCAAACATGTTCTTCAGTCATTACCCATACACCTCCTGTCAGTTGTTTCCCCTCCCAAAACAGTTATGAAGCAAATAAAGAAGATGACTGCAAACTTCTTATGGGGTGTCGAGAAGGATAAAAATAAATACCACTAGGCCTCTTGGAGAAAACTGACTTACCCTCAAAATGAAGGGGGGATTGGTATCAGATCTACAGAGGATGTATGCACAACAATGGAATTCAAACAATGGTGGACCTTTAGGATAAAACAGTTCTTATAGAGCAGCTTCCTTTTGGCCAAATATTGCAAGAGATCACATCCTATTTCTAAGAAATGGGACACTGGTCAGTCCCAAGCCTGGAAAAAAAATGATGATCAACAAAAAGAAAGTTGAGATTCACATACATTGGAGACTTCAGTCAGGTAATGCTAGTTTTTGGTGAGATAACTGGCTAGGAACAGGTCCATTGGCAAATCATAGACATCAAGATGGTAGACCTAGTAACATCAGTGTTGCACATTTTTGGGATAATGATCAATGGAACCTACAGAAACTTAATGCAACAACACGTGCACATAAAATCACAGATATTCTGCAGACACCAATATATTTCAGACCATAGACCCTTAATAAGCCTATATGAACTCCAAACACATAAGGAAACTTCACTTGTGCATCTTCTTGGGAGGTGATTAGGAAAAAGAAACAAATATTGCTCTCTAACAAGATGACTTGGCATAAGAAGATCCCCTTCAAATGATCCTTTTGTGTATGGAGAGTCATTAGAAATAAGTTACCAACTAATGATAGAGTACTTACTTTGGGCACCCCACTGTCACAAGATGTGTTTGTTGCACTATAAATAATTCAGAAATAGTTGACCATATTTTCTCCAGAGGTCACTTTGCAAGACACGTATGGAAAACATATTCAGGCATTGTTGGATTCAAACTGGAGGAGATTTCACTCAAGCTCCTTATGATGAAATGGTGGCTACAAAAGAGCAAGAATATAGCGTAGAAACTTCTTTTGGAGACCCTGCCTATCATCATTTGTTGGAATTTATGAAAGAATAGGTGTAATGCAAAGTATGGCAACAAATCTTCCTCCATGAATAGAGTTTTGTTCTCCATCAACTCAGATATTCATCTATTGCCCACATCCAACTATCCAATGATCAATTGGCCTATCAACTGGATTGAATTATTTACCTTAACATAGGAGATTCAGCACATCACCATTACCAAACAGGTAATATGGCATAAACCTACAGAAGGTTTTGTGAAAATAAATAGTGATGGTAGTGCTCTTACAAATCCCGGGAGTATAGGAGTAGGGGTTATAGTTAGAGACTCACAAGATGGCTCCATTCATGCAATAGCTGCTCCTTTGGGGATTGGCACCAACAACCAGGCAGAAATTGAAGCTGCGCTTATTGGAATCAAATGGTGTTTGGAGAATGGCTTCTCAAACATTCATTTTGAAGGTGACTTTTTTATATTTATTCAATGGCTCAGACAAAGCTCTGAGCCACCTTGGAATCTGACCATGAAAATACAGGATCTCAAAGACTTATGTAGGCAGTGCAATGATATCATCTTCACCCATGTGTATATGGAAGCCAACTTCCCAGCTGATTCTCTATCCAAGCTCAGCCATAACTTGCCACATATAACACATTTCCAACACTTGCCAGAACTACCACCACACATCAAAGCCTAGATACAGCTCGATCAGAACAACACACCTGCCTTCAGATACAAAAAAACCAACATGATCCAATTCTCAACTAACAGACCTCCCACTTATACTCCTTAAACACAAAAATGATCAATATGACAAAGGACGTGCCTATCACGTCCAAACACCACTGGTTTGCTAACAGGTTTATCTTTGTTGCAGGTACTTTGGATTAGTCAAGTCTATTGCTGCAGTTGCAATGTGTGGTATTAGCATTTTCAATGCTCATTCTATTGCAATTGTATCAATTTATTGGACACCCCTCCCCCTTTTGTTCATGATTTCTGGGCTGATAAAATACAGCCTCAAAGGAGCAGCAAGGTGCAGAATGCAGCTCACAAGTTCACAACACCCATCAACTCAACTACAGATAAATGTCACATATGCAGACTCTCAACAGGAAACTCTTAGGGGCGCAAACCTAACTATCTTGCACAGGTTCTTCAATCTACTCTCAGCAGCAGAAGCACACTCGCTGCACAAGCATTTCCAGGAGCCAGAAGCATCCATTTCAACATGCAAGATTCAAGACATATTGGAAGATGAAAGCACCATAATGCTAACTTTTGTTTTTGTCAAAAAACCAAACAGAAGCAACACTTATGCCCACTTACATGGGCCTCTTGTTAGCTATCTTCAATTTAACTTTGTTTGACCTCAATGCCAAACCAAAGTTGAAGAAAGCTCATATCATGATCAACTGTTTTTTATCATACCCATTAGGAATTTTACAGCTTTACTAGAAGTAGAGCCTATTGTACTTGGAGGATGTCCAAATAATCTGTCCAGTACAATCAGGATCACTTGTGTTTTTTAGTATAAGTAAACCTTGGTTAGACACACCTTGTTTCTGTATGCTCAAATATTTATCACTATCATTGGATAGACAATTGGTACCTCATCATAGGTCAAATACACATAGTTGTGTAGGGTCATTTGGTTATAATGTTTGGATGACTAAGTGTACACTCATCTTAATTTGGAAGGTAAGGTTTATGTCCTCCTCCATTGTTGTACTTTACTTTACATTTATGAAAATTAAGGTTGAAAAAAAAAACAATCAAGTCCAAGTTCAAGCAATCAAGTTCAAGCTCAAGAACGAAGAACAAATCAAGTTCAAGCTTAAGAACGGAGAACAAATCAAGATCAAACTCAAATGCCCTTGAATTATTATTGGAAAAGTGAAATCAGAGGAACCATAGAGATTGTAACACTCAAATAATTGAAATAAAATACTACGATTGTTGCAATATATTTCGGTCTTGATTTTATTTTCTCGACGCAAATTTATTGTCTACAATATTATTTTAAATATATTATAATATTTATATGACTATAAAAAAATTTTATTAAAAAAATATAAAGAATAATTTGCAAATAATGAAATGGGAGTAGTATTATTTACGGCAAGTAATGAAATCGTAGTAAAAAGTTGGGGACTATAATGCCATATATCCAAAAGCAACATCGACAAACAGAGTTTGTGACCATCAGATCTTTACGCTTTGTCATTATTATTATTATTATTATATTATTATTTTATATTTTATTTTATTATTTTTTCCCAATTAGATCTTTACGCTGCGATCTCTACTTCTCGGCTCTACCCATCGGGCCTCCGCCGGGACGATTTTCCTTCGACGGCGTCACACGAACAGGTCACCGGAAAACAGCCATTGTCTTATAGGTTTGGGACAAACAGAAAGTTTTGGCAGTTGAGGAAAAGAGAAACAAATCAGGGCGAATTTGCTAAGGTGGAGAAGGCAAACGAGAAAAGGAGGATTTGGAAGAGGAAAAGGAAGAGATGAAGGGTGGAATAGGAGGCGCTCTTCCGGCTAAGAGGCGATGGAAAGGTTTCGTAATTGCGGTTTTGGGCCTCGTTTTGCTGTCATTGCTCGTGCCTCTCGTCTTTCTGCTTGGCCTCCATAACGGTTTCCACTCTTCAGGTAACTACTTGTTTGCTCCGCATTGTCTTTTTGAATGGCAATTACTTCTTTTGCTCCTTGCAAATTGGATCTGTGATTGTTGTTTTGAACCTGCTCTTTTATTAATCCAAATTTATAGTGCAATTTAATCCTTTTCCACTTTAATATGGAAGGAAGAATATTCAAGTTTATAAACTCAGCCAATAGCTTTTTCAGTAGCTTTTATTTTGCTTCCCAGATTGAAGAATGGTTCCTGATCCCAGTGGCTGAGCCAGGAATTTATGCAAGGGGATTAGAAAAAAAAAGATATTAGAACGTCACACTTGGAATTTGAACCTATGACCTAAAATAATATTCGAACCACCTTTACCACTATACTAGAATCTTCCTTATGTCAAGGGGATTCAACAGTTTATATATAACCAAAAAAACTCGTTTTTGCCTTATTTGCACAGTATAATTTTCGGAAGAACGGGAAATCCCTCGGCTCTACACAGCTCCGCCTGCTGATCACCCAGAAACCTGCTGAAAAGAGGATGCCAATATATAAAGAGAAAGAAAAAGAAGAGAGATAACAAAAGAGTAACAAACCGTGCTTTTGTCATGTCATTAGGATAAACCTTTGCTCTTTTTAAGATAGAGATGAGGAAGACATATCCTCATGTAGTTTTTAAGTTCTAGCCATTTTTGAAAAGTATTTTTTCTAACTTGATCTAGCATTTATTTTTTGCAGGATTGACAACAGCACAACAAAGTTCAACCTCAGTAAGTATACCTGCAGCATTTTGATGATATTGATATTTAATAACTACTCATTGATCTCTTAAACTTTTTGGGAACTCCTGATATATCAGAATGGAGTTAGAGTCTACAGTCGACATAGTACTGCTAAGAATGGGAATCAGTCGGAGGTAATTTCTTCTCCATAAGCAATTTGAGCTGTCCTTTATCATTGGCCCCTTTGTAAATTTTAGCGAGTAGAAGAAGTGGACGTATCTTAATTTTCGATGCTAGATCTCTACTAGGCAACATATTTCTGTTCATCATTGCATTCTTGTTTTTCACACAGAGAAAGAGGTGATCATGATGTATCTTACAGTTTTTGGTATCTTGTTGCAGGGTGATGAATCAAGACACATGGATGACCTAATGAGAAGATTGGAACCAACTTTTTCCAAGGTTTTTTAAAATCATTATTTTTTGCTACTTGTTAAGAGTTTAAGTTTTGCGATCTAAATGGACTGTTACTGAGTAGGTGAATAGCTATAATGGGTGCTTTACCTTAAAAGTGGACAGTGAAGCTTACTAGCCGGTCTTTTCTTGAAAGTTTTCCTTAAATTTGGTTTTAGTTGTGAATAGCTTAGCATAATTTATGATGTGTGTTATTACAAAATTTTTTTTTTTGTTAGTGGTGTGCCCTTGCATTCCTTTTTAAATTCAAAAAGGGGCTGAGATGAGGGGATCCTTCATCCTCATATTTGTTAGTCTTATTGGCTGCTGTTTTGTCTATGAACAAGATTTGGTGTTGCAACTCTATAGTATTTAGACCTGGAAAAATCTCTGTGATGTATGTAAATTGAAGAGCAAATAGAGAAAGATAGGATACTGGATGTGTTGAAGCAAAAGAAGCAATAATCAAATCTCAAACCATGATGTTCCAAATATCCGTTGTTACCTCAAAAGATAAGTCATTTAATGGTCACGCGAACAAAGTGCTGTAATCATTAACTTAATAAAGTAGAGGCGTAAGTTGAGGCTTTCCAAGAATCTGAGGGAAAGTGGGAAACAGAAGGAATGTTATCAACAATATACAATATGATCTGATTGTTTCTCTACCTTTTTTTGGTGTTCAAGAGTGAAAAGAAATGAGTTAGGTTTTAGGATCTGTAGAGATAGGACTGCATAGTCTTGAGCTAATCCTTGTTGTATATTATACATGATATATGTTATTAAACCTTTTAATGGTTGCATTGTGATTTTTTATTTTCTTATTTCTCCAATTTTCCTCATTATTACAAAAACTTGAGACTGATAATACCAAAGTTCATGTTTTGTCATTTGGTTCTATATTGCATCGGAACTATAACTATCATACTAATGTGTTCGAAGCGAACATGATGTAAAAATTGTTCCTGCCACTATTTCTGTATTTTTTTTAATTATATATAGTTTGCTGCTTGCATGTAGTACTAAATCTAGAGCTAAAATTCACTGAGAGAAGTAGAAAAGCTGCTGATGAAAAACTTGTGTGCTTTTCAAATGTAAGAGTCTAGACAATCATCCCAGATAATTTTACAATCAAACTAAAAGAAATTTAAAACTTTTTCTTTTCTCAGATAGGTACTTTACTAAAAAGAATTTGTCAAAGACCAACAAAGACGCAATTTCCACGAATGCCGCTTTAAGTTAAGTTTAAGTTCTATACACTGGCTGACAATGTAAAAAACATTTACACAATTAGGTTACTTATAAGGTAATTACAACTAAATCTCTATGATAAACATTACTCCTTCCGTCCAAAAATAACGGCATTATTCCCTTATTACTCCATTCCAAGAAAAGGGATACATTTTTAAATTTGGAAACAATTTAGCTTAAACTTCTATTGTATCCTTATCGACACGATTTTATAACCACACAAATGTTATGGCATGTTTAAGACCACAAGTTTCAAAAGTCTTATAGCCAGATAAATGTTATCATATTTATGACCAGAAGTTTTAAAAGTTTTACTTTCTTTCTTTCTTAAACTCTGTCAAATAATGCCATTGGAGGGAGTAATAGGTAACCTGGTAAAAATAGTAACTAACCTGCTATCACAGGTTAAAATCTATAGATATTATAAAAAATTCTTTACATTGTCAGTGTAGGTAATTTAGATCCTTTTAAGTATCATAGTACTACTATTTGGAGTTTATGATTTTATTTGCCTTATAAACAAGCTTTTGTGAAAAAATTACCGAGTTATATTTTTATCTAAGTTTATATTCGTACCAGCACAAGTTTAACAATAGTAATTGTATGTGAACATAATGCATTGAGCGAAAAGTTCATGTTTGGGGGGATGCACCTAAGTGCTACTAAAAATAGGTACTAATCTAATTAAAAAGCATGCAACATTTCATGAATATACATTTGTACACTATCATTACTGTTAATCAGCAGTTGCTCATGTGGGTCTTCTTACTCTTATCTTTTGGTGTAGATGTTTGATCTTGCTTGTCTCCCATTTTGCTTTCTTCTTCTACTACGAACTCTTCACTTAGAAGTTCTAAGATTCTAATTTGACCGTGCTATCAGATGGGGAAGGAAAAAGAAAGTGAAGCTTTATGCTTTATCAAAAGAAAAGAAAGAAAGAAAGAAAGAAAGAAGTAGAACCTTTATGTTGAAAAATGTCTATTATGAAGAAGCTTGAGACATATAGACTACCTTAGTTGTTCAATGTTAAAAGCTACCGTTGCTTGTCTCAATAATTTCAGCTTTCTATCATTTATGGTTTTAATCTTGGAACAAATTGCATCTTATAGTTAAATGGGTTTATAAAATTTGCTTGAAAGTCCTCTAAGCTTCCATGTTCATTTTGTGTATAAGTTGTTTGATTCATTTTCTTCAATATCTTTCTCAGGATATTAGGGAAAATTTTGTTGGGGAAGCGGAGAACAAGACTGCTGGTAGGACATATCCAACTTAATTATCTGAAGAGGAATATATATCTCACTCTATAATGTGTGATTATATTTTTTTTTTTTACAATGGTAACATTATACAAACAAGTATTCTTTTTATAGGTATAGACAAATTTTCTATGAATGTGTACATTAATGTAGAGATTGGTGTTTAGCCTTTTCTTTGAATGTGATCTTGCCTCTTTCCTTCTTAGTAGATGGAGCTTATGTAACTTCTGGCTCTAGATATATTTGGATTTTTAAGCTATTCATCTTTGCAATATTATTCTTTCAGGCTCTCCTTTGTTGGATGGGTTGCCCAAAGAACGCTCAAGAGCAAATGTATGTGGTTCCACAACCTTATGTTTTTACATGTTCTCATCATAAAAATGAGTCTTTACATGTTGGTATTCTAATTCTTTTGTCTCCTTCTGATACAATAATAAGTACTAACCTTACGTGTAGCAGAGCACAGGTGTTGCTGCTGTGCATGCTGCCACTGAGAATATCAAAGGCATTGACGGCTCTCCTATGTTGGATGGGTTGCCCAAAGAACGCTCAAGAGCAAATGTATGTGGTTCCGCAACCTTATGTTTTTACATGTTCTCATCCTAAAAATGAGTCTTTACATGTTGGTATTCTAATTCTTTTGTCTCCTTCTGATACAATAATTAGTATTAACCTTACGTGTAGCAGAGCACAAGTGTTGCTACTACGCATGCTGCCACTGAGAATATCAAAGGCATTGACGAGGGTGAGAAATTATGTGAGCTAAAATTTGGGAGCTATTGTTTATGGCGTCACAATCATAAGGAAAAAGTGAATGATCTCACTGTGAGAAAGATGAAAGACTTGTTATATGTGGCCCGGGCTTATTATCCTAGCATTGCGAAGCTTCCGGCTCTTGACAAGCTTTCACATGAAATGAAGCAAAACATTCAAGAGTTTGAGCGGGTGCTCAGTGTAACTACGATAGACAAAGATCTTCCCCCTCTGTATGTGAAAATATTTTCCTTGCAACTATGCAACAGAAAATGATTTAGCTTATCTTTTTTCTTAATCATCAAGTAATGTCAAAATATTTGATCTTATCTTTTTGTGATTAAGAATGAGCAGGTGTAGCTTGCTTTTTATATGTTTTGAGAACGATCTTGACTTTGTGGTTGGTTAATGCTGTCTAAATCTTACTCCTTCATGAAACTTAGATGTAACCCCAGGAGCAAACTGTTTGATACTAGTTGCAGAATTCACATTCCTCTATCCACTACTCAGGCTTGATTGGCTCCTTTCCCTTCTCCTATCTTTCTCCCTGTCTCTCTTTTCTCTTAGTGCTGGTGACTGAAAAATATTATTGGGAATTTGGTTAACTGTCTTGTCAAATAAGAAGTCCTAGCAAATTAAAACTTTTTAAAGAACATCCACCCTCATCCTGAAATCTGATAATGGTAACAGAAGAAGCTTCCAATCATTGACCTGTTGCTATTCCTCTTTGAATCAACTTACTTTTAATCTGGTTTAGCTCCAACTCCAGTAGTTGAGCTTTGTCTCTAATCTGCCTTTTAGTCTAATTACTTTTTGTTGCATTTGTTTGTTCGCTTTTGTCAGGCTTAAAAATATTTCAACTACGTGTTTCTTGTCTTCCACTTATTCTTTTGCGTGTAGGTAGAAGGAATCCTTAAAGTCGTCTTTCGAGTATATTCTATGATTAAATTTTATGAAAACGTTTTACGGAAATTTATGCTTTTGCTTGTTCACCAGGATTGATCAGAAGCTAACTAAGATGGAAGCTGTAATTGCTCAAGCAAAGGCATGCCGTGTAGATTGTAGTAATGTAGACAAGAAATTCAGACAGCTAGTTGATCTAACTGAAGATGAAGCTACTTTCCATATGAGACAGAGTGCCTTCCTCTACCAACTAGCAGTTCAAACCATGCCCAAGAGTCATCATTGCTTGTCAATGCGACTAACTGTAGAGTATTTTAGAGACCCTTCACCTGATATCGACCAGTCATTGGCAGAGAGACATTTGAATCCAGATCTTCACCACTTTGTTATATTCTCCAACAATGTGCTGGCATCATCTGCCGTAATTAACTCCACTGTAATGCATGCTAAAGTATGGTTTTTGTATTCTCTCTTCAACTGCAAAAAGTTTCTGTTGTTAATACCTCTATTAGTTTTTCTGATTGTGTTTTCTTCTGTGTGCAGGAAAGTGAGAGTCAAGTATTTCATGTGGTAACAGATAGACAGAATTACTTTGCCATGAAGTTATGGTTCTCGAGGAACAAGTATATGGAGGCCACAGTCGAGGTTTTGAATATTGAAGATGTTAAGTTGGACAATAATAAGGCATCAACGCCAATTCATCTTTCCCTGCCTGATGAATACCGTGTCTCTTTCCACAAGGTTGATAGACCATCTACAACAGAATACTTATCTGTTTTTTCGCATTCCCATTATCTTCTTCCCCAGATATTCCATAGTTTGAAGAAAGTAGTTGTCTTGGATGATGACGTTATTGTGCAAAGAGACTTGTCAGACTTATGGGGCATCGATATGGACGGGAAAGTGAATGGTGCGGTGCAGTCTTGCTCAGTTCGGTTGGCTCAGCTGAGGAAATTTTTTGGTAACAAGAGAGTGGATGAAACATCTTGTGCTTGGATGTCTGGATTAAATGTTGTTGATCTAGTGAGGTGGAGGGAACAAGATATTTCCGGAAGATACCTAAAGCTGGTAAAGGAGGTTAGTGACCTTTATTTTTCGACTTACATTTGTTGGTTTCACCGACTTTGCCTGCAAGATATAAGGCAAAGGCAAGTTAAATTTTGCTTTCTTTCTTTATTTTCTTTTTTTTGGAAGCTATATGGCTTGAGAATTTAGCATTTTTTTTCTATGCATTATTTCTAATGTGAAATAATTCCACAACATGACAAATCAAATTTTTGATAAGTAAAACTGATTTCTATAATACTTGCTCCAAAATGGTCCAAAAATGGTTACTAGAGTGCTTCTCCATATTTCAAGTTTTGGTTGATACCCTTACACAATGTGGTCGTACTCTTACTTCTCAATATCATGTGCACCTATTTACAATAAGAATTTCTAATATACCTATACTGGCAAGGGTTTTAACTACTAGAGATAATGCCTCACATTACTAGAGATAATGCCTCACAGGGTTGTAAAAAGCGAGCGCTTCCTCGCTTAAAGCGAGAAGCGAAGCGAGGCGAGGTATCTGGCGCTTCTGTTAGCTGAAGCGTAGCAGATTTACAAAAGCGCCCGCTTCCCCTGAAAAAGCGATGCGAAGCGTAAGAAGCGAGCGCTTCTCTTTATAACTGGGTTGCCAATGTATTTAATTAAAAAAACTGTCTTTTTTAAAATACCATCGAGCAACAACAATAGAGAAAGAAAGAGGGGACTAGGGTTTAAGTTTTCCACACTTTTCAACTTCAAGATCATCAAGTTTGGTCCCAGGTATGTGATTTCTTCCTCCTCCTCATCCTCCTCCTTCTCCTCCTTCTCCTTCTTCTTCTTCAGCGTCCAAATAGCAGTGAAATGCTGGCGAATTTGTTTTTTCCCTTCCCTTCTTCTTTCTCATTCTTCTCTTCTTCTTCTTCTTCATTTTGTTGCACTGTTTCAGTGATAAAAAGATTGAAATGCTGCCCATTTTTTCTTACAGTTACATGTGTTGTTTATGCAGTATTTATTTTAATTTTTTTTTAAAATTCCGCTTCACTTCAAAAAAGCAAGGGCTTGAAGGGAGGCGGCGGGTTGGCTCTAAGTTTACTTGGGTCTTGGGACAAGGCGATACTATTCCCAAATTTCCCGGTTAAGTCTACTCAGTTGGAGTACCTGGGACAAGTTTCAACATGGTTCCAGGTGGCGTCAGGTTTCAAGATCAATCTTAGAAAGTGTGATATTATCGCAGTTGATAAGCTGGTGGGCATCGAGTCGCTGGCACATTGTTAAATTGTAAGGTTGGAGTCCTTCCCACACCTATCTTTTGTTTGCCTCTGGAAGCTTTAAACACGGATCAAGCAACATAGAATCCAATATCCCAAGGGTCGAGAATAGACTTGTAGGGTGGCAGAAAAGATACTTGTCCAAAGATACTTGTCCAAAGGAGGCAAAGACGTGCTCATTAAGAGCATTTTACCGATCATCCCCACATATTTCATGTCCTTGTTTCATGCTCCAGCTAGTGTTATAGAAAAGTTTGAAATGGTTCAACGAAATTTTTATGTGATTCGTCAAATGGGGTAAGAAAGTTTCATGTGGTGCGATCGAAGATTATGACGAGTCATAAGCGCTGGGAGGGCTTGGGAATTAAAGACTTGAGGGCTTTCAAAAAGGCCTTATTAGGGAAATGATTATGGAGATTTGGATGCAACGAACATGCTTTTTGGAGAGAGAGGTGATAGTGGAAAAAATGGGGTTATAGAAGGGAATGGAGAACTGAGGATATCAATATGCCTTATGGATAATGATTTTGGAGGAATATTATGAAGGGATTTCGCGACAATGTGCCATTTAGGGAAGGTGAAGGGAGGAGGGTAAGTTTCTGCGGGGCAGAGGCGGTGCAGTAACAACACTTTGAAAACCTCTTCCCCAAAAATTTGAAGAGTCTCGTGTCAAAAAACGCTGACAGTCCAACAAATCCCGAAGGTAGTCGCGGTACAAGATGGTGAAGTTTTCTGGAATTTGAGTTTTAGGAGGAATTTCTAAGATGGGAGGGACTAAGCTTCAGAGCTTGTAGATTTACTTCATAAATAAAGTACTTCATGGAATAGCAACGACGGATAGAGTTGGGGGTGGGGAACAATGGAGTTTTTTCGTCAAGCCTTTTTTTCTGAACAGGTAAAGTAGGGCTTTTTGTCAAGTCTTTTTATGAGAAGCTTTTGATTAGAAAGGAGGCTTCCTTTCCATATAGCTCAATTTTGGATCCCTCGGATTCCGAGAAAGGTGTGTTCTTTCACTTGGCTAGCAATACCTTGCATGTTGCTTCTGAATTCAAACAAGGCCAGCGTCAAGGCACGACATGCCACACCCTTGTTGTTGCCATGCTATTGCCGATGGCTTTGTTCTGGGTCCTGACAAGAAATGAATGAATTAACTATGATGAGGAAAAATGTTGAACACATTTGTCAATTTGAAAAAAAAGAACAAGATATTTGATTTGAAAGAAATTGTCTAAAATTGGATGTGAGTCGAATCTCAAGAGGAGCAAGTTATAAATATGATTACTTGTTGTGAGTCAGATTTTTAAACTAAGTCCAATTCTAATTTTTTTTTTTTAAAAAAAAATTAACTATACTTGTTGGAATTAAAATCAAACAAGTAGCTAACAAGAATTAATCAAAGTTATAAGACACTAGGGTTGTAGCCCCTAATTAATTTGCTTTAGCTAATGGAAATTACTTACTTTGTCTAATCGCTTGCCTTATTGATTAAGATTCAATTATGATGAACCTATTAAAATCTCCCAATAATAATGAGTGTATCCCAATTAAATTCTACCATAGCTATGGAATGCTTTAAGTTCTACTTGATAAACACCCAAATAAGAATCTAACTATTCTTAGCTCTAGACTCTATTAATTTTGTTATATAATCCTTACAAAACCCAATTCTTTACTAATTGATTCTAATTCAATCCTTCTTCCACATTCCCGAGTAAGAACTGAGATAGATCGGGTTTAATCTAGTGATGGACACCAATAAATTAACAAATTAAGCATGGGATCAATTAAATAATCAAAATCCAAGCAACTATTGGCTAGTAACGAATAACCCATTAACTTGCAAATCATTTGAGTGTACAACCCCCACCTGAGAATTTATCTACTCATGCTAGAAATTGAAGTAAAAACAATTGAAATTAAAGGTAGATAATGCAAACTCTGTCTTGAATCCCTCCAGTAACTTGATGAAAACCTTTCGAAAGTAGCTAAGTAAAACCCTTATAAAGTTTTCCAGCAGTTAAAGTTACTAAAAACCCAGCCAAAATTCTATTCATAGTTGTGTGATTGTGTCTAAATTAATTCCAGAGTTCTCTAAAATAACCCTACCAAAGTAACAACGCAGTCCACGGTTCTAAATAGTGGTCCGTGTTTCTCGAAGACCCTGATGCCCTTTCTGAAGTTCCTGAACTGTGGTCCGCATAATCATTTCGCAGCACCGCAATTTTAGGCCTTTCAGCTGCAGAAAACTTCTTTCTTAGTTCATTTAGCGGTTCACGGTTCACCTTTATTTCCACAAGCCAAACTTTGACCGATGAACCAAAGTAATACAATTTTCTTAAGCTTCAAGGAAGTATGAAATATACCCAAGATGGAATTATATTGACTTCTAATATGCATGTTATTTAATCTTTCTCATTTAATATGAATGTTATATAAGTTGTCACTGAAGTGGGTGAACCATGAGATCCTGGGTTCAAATTCCGATGGAGGCAAAAATACCAGGTGATTTCTTCTTATTTGTCCAAGTTCGTTGGACAAAGTTACCCAGTATCTATGCTGATGGGAGATAGCAGGTATCCTGTGGAATTAGTCGAGGTGCGCACAAGCTAGCCCGGACACCATGGTTATAAGAAAAAAGGAAACAAGGAAACAAGAAAAAGGCAATTTGTATGCTCTTAGACCCCAAAACAGAAAAAGATGGAAAAATTCGAATCACATTCATTTAGTTCTCTCAATATAAATATTCAAGCTTGTTTTCTGTTGCTCTTCATATATGGCCTGCTACCTGCCTGAATAATGAAGTGTGATACTTCGAGTCTCCATTTTTTTTTGATGTGGAGTAGTTTTTTGGTGTCCAGGGTTTAATCCTTTCCAGCCGCCACAAACTATGGGAAGCATAAAAAGATGGAAAATACAAAACACATTCATTGTTGTTCTCTCAACGTAAATATTCATGATTGTTTTGTGTTGTACCTCGCAAGTGGACTGCCACCCAACTAAATAAAGAATTCACATCCTTTGAACTTTTTTTTCTTTTCATTTTGGAGTTCATGGGTTTACACTTTCAAGCCCCACAAACTATGGGTTTTCAAAGTCTATAACTGCAAACTAACGAAACTCGTCGAGCATTCGTTCAACACACTCAACATCTATGGTTAAGGGGCGGGGGGGTTCATGAGTCACTATGATATCTGTAACTATCGAGACACTGACAGGATTCCTGGTGTGGAATTTTGTGTTAGATTATGTCTATGACTAAACCATTTCTGTAGCCATTTATCTATTTGCTATTCTTATATTGACTTACCTTACCATTACTTTTTTATTTAATTTGCAGATGAATTCAGAAGAGGCTGTTACATTGCGCGCAAGCTTGCTTACCTTTCAAGGTGAAGTTTATGCTCTTGATGATAAGTGGGTATTATCAGGATTGGGTCATAAATATGGAGTGGATATTGAAGCTGTGAAGAATGCGAGAGTACTGCATTTTAATGGTAAAATGAAACCCTGGCTTGAGTTGGGAATCCATGATTATACAGTTTTCTGGCGGAAGTTTGTAGACCCGGAGAATCAGTTTTTAAGCGATTGTAATATTAACTAGTATGGGCTAGTACCTGCATTTGCTGCTGAAGTTTCATGAAGGTAGGGGTGAAGAAGCTTGCACAAGTTTCCTGTTTGTGCTCCTGATTTGAACCGTATCTGAGGTAGGGGGACCGAGTATAATTTGGTGTGGGTATCTCTATTGATTGGTTAATGAAGGAAATGTTTTTTAACCTCAAGGCAACGCTAAGTGATGCAGAATACTTGTCAATGACGGATTGATAGTAAAGGCATGGGCAAGTTTTAATGGGTTAGGCATTCACCTTCATCATGGCGATTTTCTTTTGAAGATGTAAAGGATATAGTGTACGAGGAGATTGCCCGAAATCATCTCTGAAGAGCTGGATATGAACTTTGCCTCCTATGAATCTTGTAAATGCGCATACCTTGGGTTAAATATTAGTTATACTGAAACTGGGTGAGAAGTACTTGGAACCTTGCTTCACCTGTGACGAGCATCTTGGATTCTTCTGTGATATGTGGTGTTGCCACTGAGACATTCTTCTCTGAATTCTATCCTATTAATCCCTGTAGAATTGGGTCTGTTTGAGTACATTTTCTTTATTAGCATTGATCAGGCATCTGAACGTTTTTGAGCTTTGTATTAGCGGCAATTCTGCTAAAATATATTTAGTGTTGTTTGGATAACATTGTTTGCCTTGTAATTTTCCTTTTTGAAAAGCAGCTGGATGTTTGTGCCTTGCGCTTAATAGTTTAAGTTCTATGCAGTGGCCAGCGAGGGTCGCTTAATACGGGATAAGGAGTAAGTCCCATGTTCTTTTAAGTTTTTTTATTTATAAATTAATAAAATAGCATCACGACACAATAAATATAGAAAATATATTAACAAATATTATCAAACTACACATTTTACTTCCCTAAAAGTAAATAACTAATAAATATTATTATTATTTAAAAAAAATACTTCTTCATGAATAAATAATGGCTTTAAAATAATAAAATAATAAAAAGTATGATAATTTTACGGGACAGAAATAAAAGCCATGAAGACCAATTGCAGGTGAAGATATAAAATTCAGACTATCTATTTTTAGATGAAATGTTCAAATGATATTTGCCCTCACAATATTCTCAATTAATACACANTGAACTTTTTCATTCACTTGTTAAAGAATTTTGAAAGTCAACGGTGCTAATTAGAAAATTTGACACATGATTTGTATATGAACTATTTGGCGAATTCCGAGATTGAGTATTAAGCGTATTCAGGACACTGACGCGCTTGAGGCATAAATTTCACAAAACAAAACCCCACACCTGAGCTTCAGAGCATTTTGCAAGTGCCTAACGTGCCCGGGCGAATCTCAGAAAAAGCCTTTTAAGGCACTAACCCAGATAGAGCATAGAAATTTTAAATGGCAAGCTTCAAAAGACATTAGTTACTCTATGGAATTTTTCAAGAACCACTAAATATTTGTGTATGACCACCAATACGTGTGGTGGGATGGTTGCAACTTGCAACCTATTCACCCTTGTGGTGGGTTGGTTGGAACTTATTCACCTTTAATCAGATCTCTCGGGTACAAGCGACCCGAATTAGTCCGATAATGTGCTTCGAATTCCGAATACTAAAGCCAAAAGTATATATTTTTGTGTGATCGAAAGAAAAAACTTACTATTTGCAAATTTGATGACTGAACCACTGTACTGAACAATGTAATCATAACAGTGTAATAGCCTGTTTGGCCAAGCTTCTCACCATGCGAAAAGTGTTTTTTTTTTCAAAAAAAGTATTTTTTTTTCTAAATTTGAGGTGTTTGGCCAAGCTTTTTTTTGGAAAAAAAAATTGCTTTTGGCTAGAAGGAGAAGCAGTTTTGAAGAACCAGAAAAAAGTAGCTTCTCTCCAGAAGCATAAGCAGAAGTAAAAGCAATTTTGACTTTTCTTCCTACCAAAAATATCTTTTGCAAAATATTATATATAGCAAAATAACCTTACTTAGTTTAAACTATTAAGTAATATAAAATGACTTTTGGGATGGACTTTCATATTTATTGGATGATTTTTTGATATATTTAAATTATCTTGAAAGAATAAAGTACTTTTCAATTTTATTTTTATATTTTACTTAAATAAAATAAAAAACTTAATTATTATCTTTAATAATAAATATTTGTAATTATTTACCTACTTATATAATATTAACTATTAAACAAATCTCTTCATGTCCTCATTTGTAATTTGACACATAAAAGCACTTTTTGAAAAGTTTGGCCAAACACAAATTATTGTTCAAAAGTATTTTTCAAATTGATTTGCCAAACACAAATTTTTACTTTTTTTAAAAGTATTTTTAAAAAAGACACTTCTCAAAATAAGCTGATTTTTCCAGCTTGGCCAAACAGGCTATAAAAGTCGATGACAACTTTTCCCTCCATCCCTATGTTTAGCCTGTAGAGGGGAAAAGGTTTCAATTTCAACTGTGGGAATCAACTACATCGACCCAAAGTTTGATAGTTCAAACCTAATCTTCTGAATGCCCAGTTGGGTTCCCCTTGAGAAAAAAGAAACAATAATCGGGAGAAATTCAAAAATAGTCAGATTTACTTGTGGTCATTCAAAAATAGTCACAGTTCCAAAAGTCATCGAAATTTAGCCACTTTTCATGTAAAGATAAATCTGAACTAAAACACTGTTCAAAATCCGAAAAATACTCTAGTATATTATACTGGAACTCCAGTATACTGGAACTCCAATATGCCGGTCCAACATAATATGCTGGAAGTTCATACACAGGTGCACCAAACTCCAGTATATTATGTTGGACCGGTCTCTATTGCAGCAAAATAGTGGTTATTTTTTAATGACTTGGCAAACGCCGACTATTTTTGAATGACCAGTCCGAAAACTGGCTAGCCCGTGCTATTTTCACATAATAATCTCTTATGTACTTTTTTTAATAATAGTGTTGTCCGAATCAATTTGCTCACATCTTAAGTATTCCACGGGAAGACCTAAATCCATCCACCTAGGTTGTCAAATTTGGCCCAAACCCAAATGATCCGCCCAACATAATATATCTTGACTCAACCCATCTCAACCCATTTAAAATTAGGCTGATTTTTAACCTGAATTGATCCATGAGTAACTTTGCCAAGATATCTAAGAATTCTTTTTTTGTTTGATATGTTATATATGACCATACAAAAGTAGAAAAAAATGTCTTATTTAGTAATTATACAATTCAAAAGAAAACAATACATATTAAGTAAAGCTTGATAAGCGTTGGACGGATTGGGCTATGACCCAAATTTTAGCCCATCTTGACCCAACCCATCTTAACCCAAGTAACTTTTGAACGGGTCAATTATTAACTCAACCAATTTTAACCCGCCCAAAATTGACCCATCCTGCCCATTTGACACCCCCTGCATCCACCATAGTATATACTGATACTCACCGGATAACTTAGTTGACTAAGAGCCCGTTTGGACATAAGAAATTTTTCCCTTTTTCCCAAAAAAAATTCACTTTTTTTTGAAATCAGCGTTTGTTCATAAAATTTCCAATTTTCACTTGAAGATGTATTTTGAAAATTTTCGAAAATTTGAAAAACTCCAAAAAGTTCATTAAATTTTCACTCAAATCATTCACAAAACTTCAAAAACAACCCAAAATTATATTCATGTCCAAACACAACTCTAAATTTCAAATACCATTTTCACTTAGAAAATTTTTTTCCCTCTATTTTGGAATTTTACAATTCTTATGTCCAAACGCCCGCTAAGACTTGTAAAAATGGAAAGAAATCACTTTGACTTTTTTCTCTACTGAAATTTGAACCCATAATATTCATTCCATCTTTATGGACGGCACATCCTTCTATGCAAAAAATACTAGTAGTAGTACGTTATAAGAGTAGAATCATTTGACATCACCCGACGTCACTCTGATCCCCTGTTCCTACTCTATTTCCCTCCTTCCAATAACATTCTAAAATTTAAGGATACACAAAAGTTCAAGAGATGTCAATGGAACTTATCCTCCACTAGTCCACTGGCACTAATCAGAATCTGAATTCTCATATTGTTCTTGACCATGTCAAATGAAATAACAATCTTGCCCCATGCTCCATATCACCCATCACTATCATTTGAATGCAGTGAGTGTATAAATTGGTTTTCTATTCAGTATGAAAACAGCAATAAAGATACACAAGTCATCGACAATGAGAATCAAAGAACTTCTTTTCGTCTTTATATTGAGGAAGTGTAATTTGGAGGTAAACTTCATAGAAGCTGGCAGTTGCGAAGGCTAACAGCTGGTTAACAGCACATTTTACTCGTATCACTGACGTAATATGGGATTAAAACTTGAACCTGATTTACTTACAAAAGTTACAGGAATGGTATGGTAACAATTATTGCAATGGGTGATTCCTTCTAAGTAGAGCTAAGGTTTGCCCCTGCTCGGATTTGCAACATTTCAGTTCTCTTACTCCTCTCCATTACATCTACGAGCCAATTCACACTTTCCTTAACTCCTAACCTGCAATCAAGCAAGCAAAAGCTTGCATTATTGAAGCTTGTTTGCAGAGCTTTTAAACCAACTTATAATATGTCAAACCTTGCTGGGAAAATGGTTTTATGCAGCGGTCTTCTATATGAATATATTACCTGGAGAAATACAGTTCTTATGTGTGATACTGATAAGAAGAAGATTACTCACCCATCATAGCCTGAAACAGCTAAAAAGGTGTAAGCTCTCTCATCGAGTTTCTTGAGATCAAGATACCGGGCAAGTTCTTCCGCTGACACAGCATCTGCAAGGTCCTGCTTTGATAAATGGATGCACATAAGCAAAAGACTGGTCGCGTCAAGCACAAAAGGATTAATGTAATCAGCCAACTATTTACTCTTCTCCCTCCAGAAAAATCGGACAGCCAGATAAGCAAAAAACAAATAAAGGAACAAGGGAGCGTCTATAGCACTGATATCGTATCCGCTAGTCAATATTTAGAATCCTTTTTCCTTTTTTGATGAAGGCACATTTAAAATAGGATCCTTTGTGACAATGATAAAACAAGAAATGAGTTCATTTTGAAACCAAAAACATCTAGTCTTTGGCAAATAAAGTATAAACATTATCAAAACCGGAGGTGATAGAAATATAATCATCATTGAAAGATGAATTAGACAAGGAAGAGACAAAAAGCTGTGCTCTGTTCAATTAATGACATACACAATAAAGAACCTCTTTTAGGTGGAAGAAACTGCTGTCTGCCTTTACCTGCTTGTTTGCTAATATCAGAAGTGGTGCTCCTTGCAGATCCTCATGCCGGAGAACCTTTTCTGCCAACCGTTGAAGTGAAAAAAAAAACCATGATGCTTACTCCCTAAAAAATCGTGAACTAGACAAAAGCTTGTAAACATGACTAACCAACAGTACATACCAAGCGCAGATTTGGAATCCTCAAAGCGTGATGGACAAGCAGCATCAACAACAAATATCACAGCATGTGCCTCTTCATAATACTTCTCCCAGATTGAGCGAAGACCAGGCTAGGAGTATAAATGGTCTCATGTTAGTCAGAGAAACTTAGATGAATGTCTATAACTGGCAGAAAGATATAACAGTATCTTGCTTTCAAAGACATTGAGACCCCCCTAACTGCTGACTAGCTCTAGCGAGAAAACATAAGAATATTGTATAATTCCTCCATCAATTATTACAAAGATCATGCATACGATAACTGTTCTATATAAGGCAGCAATTACCAAAATACATCTAAAGTTTGGAAATACATGTGGGAAACAAGAGTAGTAGATGACCATCATATGTTACAAAATATACACCTAAAATCTTGCAACTATGATAACAAGAACATACATTTCATCATCAAACTTAAAAGTGTAAAACAGATCCCTGATGTCAAGCACTTCAACCTTGTCTTTTGTCAGACATAATACATGTATCTGATGCTGCATTAATATTTACAGATTCTTTGCAATTCTAAAATGGAAAATTTAATCATCTCAGACGTTACAGGAAGCAAAGTTCATACCTGACCTCCTAAATCCCAAAATACAAGCTTCGTATTTGATACTTCAACACGACCAATATTGAGCCCCACAGTTGGAACAATACGATCTGGTGGAAGGCCTTCCAAGTTTGAGTATTGTGACTTTAATTTCTCTAACAGTGTCTAGAAATTTAATAATAGAAAGAAGGATTAGAAAGAAATGTTTCAAGACTAGACATTGATAAATATCAGTAATGGTTAAGCATGTGACATTCGCAACCCACCCACCCACCCAAAAAACAAAAAAAGAGAAAGAGAAAGAAAAAATATCATTTAAAAAAAAAGTAAATAACAAAACAAAAAAAGTGTAACTAAGCTATTCAGATTAGTGTTTACAGCACACTAATCCAGGGACAACTTTCTTTTAGTAAGTGTTAAGGACAACATTTCATCTTATAGAATAAGCTAAAATGAACTTCACTCCTATATCCATATTCCTATAATCATATTTTTTACAAGCATATGGACTAGTTGTTTTTTTCTTCTAATTTTTGCTTTTCTTGCCTCCTTTGCTTAAGACTCTACATAATCCTCATAAGTTCCACTGTAGATCTGTTGAGTGCTTGTTCACTGGTATAGCTAATTATATGCTTGCATGCATCCGTGCTACATCACTAGATGTGTGTATGTTTCTAGATACCTAAGGTTTTTTTATATTTTTCATACCCTCTTCTTCACAAAGGAAAGGATATAGACTAGTTTTTTCCTTCTAATTTTTCTTTTCTTGCTTCCTATGTTTAAGCCCTACATAATGCTAATAAGTTCCACTGTCGATCTATTGAGTTCTTGTTCACTGTATAGCTAAGGCTTACAAGAATCTGTGCTACATCACTAGATGTGTGTATGTTATTGCATTGTGTATGAAAATAACACCTAATTCCACTAGGGGGAATAAAGTCATTAAAGCCTATCAATCACAAAATAAAAAGTGGTTAAAAAAGATTATACATAAAGCTGGATTGCATAAAGTACAAGAGATATTGCATGCAATCAAAATCTTTAAAATAAAATAAAAATGAAGGAAGAAAATAGCTAATAACGTACCGTTTTCCCAGCCTTGTCAATCCCAAGAATAAGGACATGAAACTCTGTCTTGCTAAACATGTACTTATATAATCCATAAAATAATGAAAACATCTCTATCTTCTTCTGTTTCCTCTATGATTTGCGACAAACTGCAATAGGTTATATGGTGACTTGTTCTCTGGTCATCACGATGAAACCTGAAATGAAAGGACTCATTACGATCTTCATGCATAGCAAGCGAGACATCTCAAAATGGAAAAACTAAATCATTGACTAAAGTGAATGAACGTTCTTATCCTTGGGAAAGGATGTCCCATAACAATCATGATGCTCGCTCATGTCGAAATACAATTGAAGCCCCAATACCAGCCATTAGGAATTCTACTTACCCCACCGGCAACTGGAAAACCCTCAATTTGCATCTCAATATATACATTCTTGCTAATGAGTAATGGATGATATCGCGACTCCCTCTTTCTAAAGCTACCACTTAATTAACTGTAACTTCCAGTGAAGGTAGAATTATTCTCCTTCCCACCCCACCAACTGCTTATTATGCAGCCCTAAGAAACAAGGATCAACAGGAATTGGTATTACAATGCTATTGAATCCCATCTCCAGCAAAAAATAACAATGGTAGAAGAAATCATTTCTTTAAAAAAACTAAATTCACGGGAAACCTTCTTCTCTGTGAAGGATAGCAAGTCACCAAACAGAAGATCACTGATACAAAGAAAAGTTAACCAACTTGAAACTCACGTAAGTTGCTATTTCAACTGAAATGCTCTAAATAATGAACATTCAAAATGCTTTGTCTTTCTTTTCCGGTATTCATAAGTAACATTCAGATGCTCCTTTGGGTAGGGACCATTGCTAAAAAAAAAAGAAAAAAAAAAAGGCAAATCAAAAGAGGAGATGAGTTTCCAAATAATCCAAAATTGAAGGGCATAAGTTGAAGTAACCAATGCATGATCTATGATCTAAAACTAAAGGGATCAAACAGCAATTCAGCTTATTAAACACAGGTCAAGATTGGCTTGCTGCCAGCTTGTTTCATACTATTAATTGGCAAACTAATCAAGTAACATTGACCATATCCTTCTAGTGTATAAGAAAGTAGAGCGAGGCTCAAGCTCAAACAAACATCGTCTTAAGTAAATTAATGCCAAAAGGAGAAAAAAGAATTACAAGCTACTGGACGTAATATAAACAAGCTAATTCAGTGAAGACATCAATTGCCAAATATGTCGGACCAACAGTATAAGCACCTTATATCCAACATAAAGTAATAACTATCAACAACGACACGTGCTTTTACCATTACTCCATTAGCATTTCCATTGAAATACATGAAATAAAATAAAAATTAACATATAGTAAAAATTGGAACAGTATCCAGTTTTTTCAATTAACTTAGAAAAGAACTTAAGAATAAACAATTATTCACTCTCATAATTCAGAATGTAAGCCGGATTTTAAGAATATAAATCGCGAAGAAATTGCAATCCGGAATTAATACTCCAATTGAGAAAAGGGAAACCTAAAGTACCGAATTACAGCTTCCGATTCAGAATTTGAGCTCAAAATACAACAAATAACATCAATTCGTTTTTGTGATCCGATATTGTAAATCATAAATTGGAAGAAAAAAAGGTACTCAACAGTGATCGGAAAAAGGAGGAGGATAAGGAAAGAGAAACTGAAACCTGATTTAAAAGAGGAAGCGGCAGAAGTAGATGTTGCTGGTTGTTGATTCGGTGCTGCAGTGACGTTCGATTGCACCCGATATGCACGCCGGGGAAGAGAAATAGAGCGTAGAGGGAGAGAAAGAGAACTACTGAATTTTTATTTTATTTTATATGTAGATCCACCAAGTCTTAGAGAAAAAATAAATAAATAAAGAAAAAGGTTCACTTTAGCCTTATAACTTTGTTAAGTTAGTAAATTAATCATCCATGTCCCGTTAAAAATTTACGAGACAATATAAATTGAGCACGAAGTTTTAAAAAAAATATATAAATTTTTAAAAAAAATTGTATTATAAATATTTGTGGGTCGATAAACCATAGAGGGTAAAATGAGTATTTCAAATTTGAATTATTACTACTAAATATAGGTGGATAGAAAACTTTTTTTCTAGCGAGCTACTAGCCGACTTGATAAGAAATAAACTTCGAGCCTATTCAACAAAGTTTGCTCTAGAGATGAGGATAGCACAAGCTATATAAAGAGACCATTCATCATTTATAGAGCTGATGTAGACTCTTCTACAGTATTGTTTACATTGTACTGTGGAAAGTTTTTGTAGCAAATTCTTTGTATTTGAGGTAGTTAAAACACTATGACTTCCGAGAAGCTAGACAATCTTATGGCTTCAACTTAAACTAATAACTAGTCATTATACCTCATTTTTATTGACTCTTTTGCAAAGGAGCCCATAATTACATGTGGAGACTAGATTCTTTTGGTCACTATTGTCTATTGACTTTTCAGAACAAGAATTAAAGTTTAAAGAATTTGTTCCGTCGTTAATATCCATTTTTCTTGTAGTGATATAGTAACATTTTTGTTCTAGAGGTCAGTTTGACCATATTTTATCATTATGATCGATCTCTTAATAATTATGGTTACTCTAAGTTCATTTTGTAACAATTGTCATCATACATGGGCATTGTATTGTCCTAATAATGAAACCCTTAAAACAATGTATTTCAGTCATTATAATTCTAGCGTTATTTAGTAAAATATAAAATAATTTATCAAACTTTAAATCGAGATCTTTTTTGATGCCAATGAATTGAGAAGATGTTTCTTTTGCTCTTTATTTATTTTATGATTTTCTTACGAATATGCTATAGCCGGAAACCATTATGATGAGGTCGCCTTTATATGACGGTAAAATGAAAGAAAGTTGATCATCTTATGGAAAAGGAAAACGAGCAAGGAATTACTTGTGCAAAAGAAAGTACATAAACATAAAAGGCCAATAACTTGCAAATTTTGTAAAACATAACAATGTTTCCTTAGTGGTATCTTTCGAGATACATGCTAGCGGAAATATTTCAGAGATCCATTATTTTTTACTCTGAACTCTATATATGCAACAACAAAAAANCATATGTTTTGGTTTTAATTAATCTGAATTGATGGCTTAAGGGAATTGAAAGCCACCAATACCTTGTACAGGGTTACCTTGTTGTGGATTTATAGCTATCCATAACAAGGAGAGTGTAATTGCAATAAGTCCTGACCAAACAAACACAATTGTAGGTGTTTTTCTTCTTCTGCCCATTAATCCCTTAGCAAAAGGATATAAATGAGCTAACACCCAAAAAGCAAAGAAAGCTCCACCAATAAACTTTCCCCACTCTGGAACAGTTGCAAACACTGCCCTGGAAAATGCAATCACAATAGCAATAATGTTAATCATACCGATAACTATAGGCGGGATCATCAATGAAGTCCATTTGACTAAGTACAAATCGGCGTAAATGTCATTGACGTCTTCTCCAGCGGATTTAGAAGTGAGCGTAAAAGAAATTTCAATGCCAGCAATTACTTTCAGGAGACCTTGAACTACAGCAGCAAGATGTGCACTAGTTCCTGAAATGAGCCAAAATTGTTCGTTTCTCCACCAATCTTCTAGTGCAACGCCGGACCATTTCACTTCCAGGAGAGCTAACCCGATGAGACATACAGTTATAGTTAATAGAAATATGAGGAATGCGACGTTGAGATTCTGGACGATGAATTGGCCGGAGATGAGGGAGAGTGCAGGTAGAAAACAGTAGACAATTAGGAAAAGGGAAGTGAAAGGATAAATGCCAACGTTCAGGTACGCGAGACGTTGGAGGACCTTGAGTTTTCTGGATGCTAGAAATGCATTGTTTCCTGAGAAAAAGATTTCAACAGAACCTGTTGCCCAACGGAGCACTTGATGTAACCTATCTGTTAAGTTTATGGGCGCTGATCCGCGAAAGGCATCGCGCTTGGTTATGCAATAAACAGAACGCCATCCACGGTTGTGCATTCTGTATCCAGTCACCACATCTTCTGTCACTGAACCATAAATCCATCCTACTCGATCACCCCACTCCGTCTTGTCTTCATACCTGCATTAATTAATGTTTTGCCCAATTTAATTTCCAAAAGTATTTACATGTAAAAAAGTGACACAATCCCCACATCTACAAAACACGGGTGAGATGCTGGGTGTATAAGTAAACAAGTCTTAGACCCTAATGACATATTTTAAAGCCGTGCGACCTGGGCCCAAAGTGGACAATATCACTAGTGAACTGGGTTGTTACATATGGCAACTGAGTTTACCAACAACTTGGAATTAATTAAATACGAGGAGCTTACCAACAAGATATGACAGAGACTGCTTCGGCGACAGTGGTGGCATCAAGTGGTTCCCTTGGGGCTCGAAGAGCACCAGGAGGTCGGCCATACTTGACAGCAGGGTGATCAGCTATAGGGCGGCCTTGGAACTCAGCAATTGGAATAGACTCTGCTAACATTGTTGAGTTTCCGAAACGCTTAGGTAGTAGATTCACATCTAAGTCAGGATCAAAATCTGTTGCTTTCAATGCTTGCGCCTCTGAACCCTTTTGTGGTATCTTATCAGGTTGTGCTGGATCAAAGCCGTAAAGTGCAAATCGCCTAAACATGCAACCCGTCCCCACATACATAGGACCCTATATATAAATGGACGAGCAAGTTTAATATGGTTATGAAATTGAGAAAAATGCAAGTCATGTGTTTGATATGTACCTGGAGGCCATCAAGTGCACGCATATTTCCATCGAAAAACACAGTATTGTGATTGGCATAACGATCAGAGGGATCGATGCCTTCAAATCGTTGAGGGAATTGAATATAACATATATCTTCTCCACCTCTATCCATCATGAAACACATCCCTTCACGAATAGCTAAGCAGTTGTATATGTAGTGATCACAATCAAGGTTGAGTATGAACGGGCCATTAGACAATATAGCAGAAGCTCGCACTAGTGCGTTCATGGCACCAGCTTTTTTATTGTGATCATACCCAGGCCGCTTCTCACGTGACACATACACAAACATTGGAAGCCTTATGTCCACGTCCGAAAAATCCAAAAAGTTTTCTTCACCCCCTCCCATTAGGGGGTCACTACTTGGGGGTTTCAACATTACCTGCAAATTATATAAGGTATATATTTGCAAAATGAATGTGACAATTCTTAAAAAAAGAAGGAAAAAAAAAAACAAGTAACCATTATTTATACCTGAAGGATTCCAGGATGATCACCTTTGGCATGATCCCTACTCGGGGTGGCCCATGTTCCAGGCCAGTGAGTCCCATCAGCCATCCAAGTAGCCTTTTGAACTTTGATTATCTCTGCAGGATCAGCGCCGCTCTCTTTCATGTGCTTTAACTGCTTCATTTCCTCTCGAGCGTTAAATGCATCTGATCTCCTTCTTATTGAATCTGGCAGGCCATTTATCCTTACCTTAAATTCATCATATTCCCTTTTAACCCTTCGTCTATCTTTGACGAAATCAGATCGCTTCTTGTTCTTAGTAGGATCGCCTTTCAGGGTAAAATAGGCTTCAGGATTCCTAGGCTCAATATCATGTTTCCTGCAGAATGGTACCCATAAATCGGCGAAGCTAGCAGCTTC